TGATGTGGGTGGTGGTGATGGTGGTTGATGTGGGTGGTGGTGATGATGGTTAATGTGGGTGGTGGTGATGATGGTTCATGTGGGTAGTGGTGATGATGGTTGATGTGGGTGGTGGTGATGGTTGATGTGGGTGGTGGTGATGATGGTTCATGTGGGTGGTGGTGATGATGGTTGATGTTGGTGGTGGTGGTGATGATGGTTCATGTGGGTGGTGGTGATGATGGTTGATGTGGGTGGTGGTGATGATGGTTGATGTGGGTGGTGGTGATGGTGTGATTGATGTGGGTGGTTGTGATGTGGGTGGTGGTGATGATGGTTGATGTGGGTCGTGGTGATGGTGGTTGATGTGGGTGGTGGTGATGATGGTTGATGTGGGTGGTGGTGATGATGGTTGATGTGGGTGGTGGTGATGATGGTTCATGTGGGTGGTGGTGATGATGGTTGATGTGGGTCGTGGTGATGGTGTGGTTGATGTGGGTGGTTGTGATGTGGGTTGTGGTGATGATGGTTGATGTGGGTGGTTGTGATGTGGGTTGTGGTGATGTGGGTGGTGGTGATGATGGTTGATGTGGGTGGTGGTGATGGTTGATGTGGGTCGTGGTGATGATGGTTGATGTGGGTCGTGGTGATGATGGTTCATGTGGGTGGTGGTGGTGATGGTTGATGTGGGTGGTGGTGATGTGGGTGGTGGTGATGGTTGATGTGGGTGGTGGTGATGATGGTTGATGTGGGTGGTGGTGATGGTTGATGTGGGTGGTGGTGATGATGGTTGATGTGGGTTGTGGTGATGATGGTTGATGTGGGTGGTGGTGTTGATGGTTGATGTGGGTGGTGGTGATGATGGTTGATGTGGGTTGTGGTGATGATGGTTGATGTGGGTGGTGGTGATGATGGTTGATGTGGGTGGTGGTGTTGATGGTTGATGTGGGTGGTTGTGATGTGGGTGGTGGTGATGATGGTTGATGTGGGTGGTGGTGATGATGGTTGATGTGGGTCGTGGTGATGGTGGTTGATGTGAGTGGTGGTGATGATGGTTGATGTGGGTGGTGGTGATGATGGTTGATGTGAGTGGTGGTGATGATGTGGGTGGTGGTGATGTGGGTGGTGGTGATGATGGTTGATGTGGGTGGTGGTGATGATGGTTGATGTGGTGGTGGTGATGTGGGCGGTGGTGGTGGTGATGGTTCATGTGGGTGGTGGTGATGATGATGGTTGATGTGGGTGGTGGTGGTGATGGTCGATGTGGGTGTATAGATGTTGTGTGTGTAGTGTATAGTGTAGTGTATGTGTTGATAGCTATGTATATAGATGTGTGTAGTTTATAGTGTAGCGTATAGTGTAGTGTATGTGTTGATAGCTACACTACACTATAGTACACACTACACTATAGTACACACTACACTATAGTACACACTACAGTACACACTACACTATAGTACACACTACACTGTAGTATACAGTACACTACACTATAGTACACACTACACTATAGTACACACTACACTATAGTACACACCACACTATAGTACACACTACACTATAGTACACACTACACTGTAGTACACACTACACTATAGTACACACCACACTACAGTACACACTACACTATAGTACACACTACACTGTAGTATACAGCACACTACACTGCACACTACACTATAGTACACACTACACTACAGTATACACTCCACTATAGTACACACTACACTGTAGTACACACTACACTATGGTACACACTACACTGTAGTACACACCACACTACAGTACACACTACACTACAGTACACTATAGTACACACGACACTATAGTACACACTGCACTATAGTATATAGTACGCACTACACTGTAGTATACAGTACACACTACACTACAGTACACACCACACTACAGTACACTATAGTACACACGACACTATAGTACACACTACACTATAGTACACCCTACACTATACACTATAGTATACACTAGAGTCTACACTATAGTACACGCTACACGTATAGTTCCAACGTGCGCACACACACACTGTAGTGTAGTGAAATACGCCGTGCGTACAGTTGACCGAGGGGCAAGTCGATGCGCAGTGTGCAACACGTGAGGGTCGTTGATGTGGGTGGTGGTGATGATGGTTGATGTGGGTGGTGGTGATGATGGTTGATGTGGGTCGTGGTGATGATGGTTGATGTGGGTCGTGGTGATGATGGTTCATGTGGGTGGTGGTGGTGATGGTTGATGTGGGTGGTTGTGATGTGGGTGGTGGTGATGGTTGATGTGGGTGGTGGTGATGATGGTTGATGTGGGTGGTGGTGGTGGTGATGGTTGATGTGGGTGGTGGTGATGATGGTTGATGTGGGTTGTGGTGATGATGGTTGATGTGGGTGGTGGTGTTGATGGTTGATGTGGGTGGTGGTGATGATGGTTGATGTGGGTTGTGGTGATGATGGTTGATGTGGGTGGTGGTGATGATGGTTGATGTGGGTGGTGGTGTTGATGGTTGATGTGGGTGGTGGTGATGATGGTTGATGTGGGTTGTGGTGATGATGGTTGATGTGGGTGGTGGTGGTGATGGTTGATGTGGGTGGTGGTGATGGTGGTTGATGTGGGTGGTGGTGATGATGGTTAATGTGGGTGGTGGTGATGATGGTTCATGTGGGTAGTGGTGATGATGGTTGATGTGGGTGGTGGTGATGGTTGATGTGGGTGGTGGTGATGATGGTTCATGTGGGTGGTGGTGATGATGGTTGATGTTGGTGGTGGTGGTGATGATGGTTCATGTGGGTGGTGGTGATGATGGTTGATGTGGGTGGTGGTGATGATGGTTGATGTGGGTGGTGGTGATGGTGTGATTGATGTGGGTGGTTGTGATGTGGGTGGTGGTGGTGATGATGGTTGATGTGGGTCGTGGTGATGGTGGTTGATGTGGGTGGTGGTGATGATGGTTGATGTGGGTGGTGGTGATGATGGTTGATGTGGGCGGTGGTGATGATGGTTCATGTGGGTGGTGGTGATGATGGTTGATGTGGGTCGTGGTGATGGTGTGGTTGATGTGGGTGGTTGTGATGTGGGTTGTGGTGATGATGGTTGATGTGGGTGGTTGTGATGTGGGTTGTGGTGATGTGGGTGGTGGTGATGATGGTTGATGTGGGTGGTTGTGATGTGTGTGGTGGTGATGATGGTTGATGTGGGTCGTGGTGATGATGGTTGATGTGGGTGGTTGTGATGTGGGTGGTGGTGATGGTGTGGTTGATGTGGGTGGTGGTGGTGATGGTTGATGTGGGTGGTGGTGGTGATGGTTGATGTGGGTGGTGATGATGATGGTTGATGTGGGTGGTGGTGATGTTGGTGGTGGTGGTGATGGTTGATGTGGGTGGTGGTGGTGATGGTTCATGTGGGTGGTGATGATGATGGTTGATGTGGGGGTTGGTGGTGACGGTTGATGTGGGTGTATAGATGTTGTGTGTGTAGTGTATAGTGTAGTGTATGTGTTGATAGCTATGTATATAGATGTTGTGTGTGTAGTGTATAGTGTAGTGTATGTGTTGATAGCTATGTATATAGATGTGTGTAGTTTATTATGTAGTGTATAGTGTAGTGTATGTGTTGATAGCTATGTATATAGATGGTGTGTATAGTTTATAGTGTAGTGTATGTGTTGATAGCTATGTATATAGATGTTGTGTGTAGTTTATAGTGTAGTGTATAATGTAGTTTATGTGTTGATAGCTATGTATATAGATGTTCTGTGTAGTTTATAGTGTAGTGTATAATGTAGTGTATGTGTTGATAGCTAAATAGAAGCATTGTTTCACTCTGTCCCATGTGTGTGTCTCTCTCTGTGTCTCTGTGCTGGCTCTCTCTGCTTGGATGTCAGTATATGTGTCTGTGATCTGTACTCTATCACTCTTAACCTATAATTTAGCAATCTTTGAAATAACTTAATCAGCCAGACCATGCGTTAATTGTGTTTTGACCGACCCTCTGTGCTGCATTATATTGTTTCCAAAATTTTACTAAATCTTGTTTCAATTTGATGTGCTTCTCCATCTCTCTGTGTTTCCTCTCTCCCTTAAATTTAGCTCTTTTATACCTGATGATGATTGCTTGCTTTGCAATCGAAACGTCGTATGCTATTATGTAATTTTATTTCATTATTATTTCTTATTTCTACGTGACTTTACCGAAAAAAACAAAGAGTATTTTCAACCGCAAGTCCAAAAGTTAAAGTTTCAACCGCAAGTTCAAAAAATTCAAGTTTCAACCGCAAGTTCAAAAGTTCAAGTTTCAACCGCAAGTTCAAAAGTTCAAGTTTCAACCGCAAGTCCAAAATTTCATGTTTCAACCTCACGTTCAAAAAGTTCAAGTTTCAACCGCAAGTTCAAAAGTTCAAGTTTCAACCGCAAGTCCAAAAGTTCAAGTTTCAACTGCAAGTTCAAAAGTTCAAGTTTCAACCGCAAGTTCAAAAGTTCAAGTTTCAACCGCAAGTTCAAAAGTTCAAGTTTCAACCGCAAGTTCAAAAGTTCAAGTTTCAACCGCAAGTTCAAAAGTTCATGTTTCAACCGCAAGTTCAAAAGTTCAAGTTTCAACCGCAAGTTCAAAAGTTCAAGTTTCAACCGCAAGTTCAAAAGTTCAAGTTTCAACCGCAAGTTCAAAAGTTCAAGTTTCAACCGCAAGTTCAAAAGTTCAAGTTTCAACCGCAAGTTCAAAAGTTCAAGTTTCAACCGCAAGTTCAAAAGTTCAATGTTTCAACCGCAAGTTCAAAAGTTCAAGTTTCAACCGCAAGTTCAAAAGTTCAAGTTTCAACCGCAAGTTCAAAAGTTCAAGTTTCAACCGCAAGTTCAAAAGTTTAAGTTTCAACCGCAAGTTCAAAAGTTCAAGTTTCAACCGCAATTTGAAAGGCACCACGGGCGTGAGGTGGCGGCTCTCCCTGCTGGTGGAGTTGGCATGGTGGGCAGCTCTGCCAGTCGCCCCCCCACCCACCCAGTCAGTTGACCTCCCCACCACAATCCGAATTGTCTTGCAACCTCCTGCCGCGTGAGCTTCTGCCATTCCACTTTGGCTCCTCGCTCGTTCGTTCCGCCACAGGTTGCCATTGCGACGTCGCTCCGTGACATTGCCACTAGGCGGGGCTTCCCATGAAAGTGATAAAACTGTCTCATCTACCGGCGGCGGGCGCTTATAGACAATACGACTTTTTTTTTGAAACACGACAAAACAATTTGCGGGAAAAGTTAATTTTTTTATTAGAAAAGTAATTTGTCATCTCGAGCTGCTTTGTGGGGCGATGTCCCAACTCCCCCTTAGTGGATGAACCAACGCAGCAGCCCCCAGGTAGTGATTACATAAAGAGCCTCAACTCAGCGCACAACTCAAACGCCTGGAGACGTGGCAGCAGCAGCAGTCGAATCACGGCCGCACGCAGCAGCAGCAGCAGTAACGGCGTCATCCAGCAGCGGAGAGAGGAGCTGACCAGGGATTGTGTAAGTCGTCGGCCCTGCCTCCACTATAGTCTGTGTGGTTAGTAAAGAACAGGAAGAGACGATGTGATGCAGCCACGACCGTCAATTACTCCTACAGGCCGGCAGGTGTCACCCTGTCATTACACAAGTTAAGGGATCAAAAAGGAGGCACGCGAACAACAAACGAGCACGGGGAAGACGCAGGTCGTCGCGAGCGGGGGAAAAACAATAGAAAGTGTTAAAACCGACGGGGGAGCGCCGTGAGAAAAACCCAACGGGACACGAGAGGCAAACGCTGAGACCCCGAGTGGAGGACGCGCCAGCGAACACGACTACAACCGAGTGGGAGGAGACGGCGGCGGAATCGGCGTTGGCGTTGGCGGTGAGAAGGCGTCGCCGTGAATGGAGGCCACCGCCGCCGGAGACGACAAGCTGGGCAGGGGGAGAGAAGGGAGTGGAAAGTGACGAGGGTGGAACACCGACCACCGGGCAGACCCTCATTGGGACCGTGAGAAGGCCAAAGTGGTCGCGACGTTTGTGCCGCTCGCTTTCGTTTCCTGTTTTTGTTTTACCGGGAAGCGGTGCGCGTCATCATCACGTCGCCCCAGTGCTAGCGATGCTTACTACACAATGCACCAGGTACTCGTTTGAGGCCGAGTCGACCTAGTGGAGGCCCAGGACCAGTTCAGATAATCGTCATTGGTGTTGGCCGTGAGCGGGAATCAAATCCGGTGTCGCCGGGTTTGTAGGGCGGCGTGCTGACCACTACACCACCGCTCCCCACACGCACACACACACATACACACATACGCACACATACACACACACACACATACACACACATACAAACATACACACATACATACACACATACATACACACATACACACACACATACACACATACACACACATATACACACACATACACACATACAAACATACATACACTCATACACACACACATACACACATACACACACATACACACATACAAACACACACAAATACACGCATACACACACATACACACATACACACACATACATACACACATACACACACACATACACACATACATACACACATACACACACACATACACACACACATAGACACACACATACACACATACACATACATACATACACACACACATACACACACATACACACATACAAACATACATACACACATACAAACATACATACACACATACACACACACATACACACATGCACACACACATACACACACACGAACACACATACATACACACATACACACATACATACATACACACATACATACATACACACATACACACACACATACATACACACACATACAACAACAACCGCCATTCGCCACTAAGTGGCGGTGACGTCACCACGACGCTTGTGCCAGGCTATGTGCACCGTGAGGCCACGTGAAGTGTCGAACGCCCGCTGGCAGGAGGTCACGGGGCAGACCCAGGTGCCACGAGTCGACTGACTGAGATGACTGGCTGATGCACCACCTGTGCCCCCTACTGTGCCAACCTGCTGTGCTTTAGCCACCCGGCGCTCCGCTCGTTGTTCTGAGCGTCGCTCCTCCGCCCTCCGTTGTTGATGGAGGGCGACTGCCTCCAAATGCCCAGTAGCATCCTTCACGAGCCTCCTCCACAGAGGCCGATCTTGACACCGCTGGTACCAGTCATCGGCAAGTCCACTCAGGTCCACGTCTTCCTGTACCACATCACTCCATCTCTTCTCTAGCCCGTGCCGTGCCCGCTTAGCCCCCTCAATCCGGCCAAACAAAAGCTGTTTCGGCATGCGGTGGCTGGGCATGCGGGCTACATGACCCAGCCATCGCAGCCTTGCCTGCCGGAGGAGCTCACCGATGGGACCCTGCCCAGATCTTTCAAGGATTTGTGAGCTCCTCACACAATCCAGTCTGGTTAAACCCAGGATGGATCGTAGGCAGGCCAGCCTAAATGTTTCTAACTGGCGAAGATGTTCTATTAGGGGGGTCCACGTTTCAGCAAGCGTAGAGAAGGGAGGGAATGACCGTGGCCGAGAAGACCTGAAGCTTAGTGCGGAGCGACAGACCAGGTAGCTTCCACACAGCGTTACGCAACCGATGAAAAGATATTGCCGCTCGACTGATTCGGAGTGAGACCTCTGCTGTTAAACTGGAGCCAGTCATAAGCACACTGCCCAGGTATGGGAAACTCTCCACTCTCTCCACAACTGCCCCATCACCGATTGGGAGTTGTGGGGGTGGAGTGTCCGATGGTACAAAATACCCAGGCAGGTGCTTAGTTTTGGTGGGGCTGATGGTAAGGCCCCACCTCTTAGTGGCACGCTCCAGTCTCAGCAGCAGCGTCTCCAACTCCTCCTCTGACTGAGCAGCTATTACCAAATCATCAGCATACATAACGTGGTTGAGCAATAGGGAGCCATCCCTTGACCGCACCCGGGCATCGATTAGCCTCCCATTATATCTGTACCATATGGAGATTCCCCCGGTACAGCTATTGAAGGCTTCACGAACTACGTGGTCAAAATAGATGTTAAATAATGTGGGAGCCAGAGGACATCCCTGTCGCACCCCAAGGTGTACAGGGAATGGCTCTGACTCCCGGCCACGTAGTTTTACCCGGGCCCGCTCACCATCATGAAGGTCCTTAATGATCGTGAGCAGAGGGTCAGGTACTCCAAAAGCACGAAGAACGACCCAGAGCCCAGGCCTACTGATGGTATCATAGGCCTTGACCAGGTCAATAAAGCAGAGATGTAGGTCTTGTTGGAATTCCCTACACCTCTGCTGTAGCAGACGGACAGAAAATATGGCATCTGTGCAGGACCGCCCTTTCCTGAAACCACATTGGGGCTCCGCAAGCCTCTCCTCAGCGTGCCTGGCAAGGCGATGCTGAATAATCCTTGCCAGGACCTTTCCCGGCACACTGAGGAGTGAGATGCCCCTGTAGTTGTTACAGTCTGTGCGGTCCCCCTTCTTAAAAAGGGGGACCACCAGGGCATCCTTCCAATCCTGCGGAACCCGTCCAGTGGTCCAGACTGTTGTTATGATGTCATATAGGGCAGTCTGTGCACAAACGCCACCCTCCCTCAGCATGATGTTTTCCTGGCTGAGGGATTTCCCCTCCTCCAGGACCTCACAGAAATGCTCAGCAAATCTGCAAACCGGTTCCTGGGGGTCGGAGATTGGATCACCGTTTTTTCCCCTAATGATGGTAATAGGTGTGGCGCTGCAGGTTACTTTTTTGATGGAGTTAAATAGAGATTTGTGATCACGGGCCACTGAGGCAGACTCCATCTCCTCAGCAACCCGCGACCACCACCCATCCTTGCAGCGCCTCACGGCTCTCCGAACCTCCGAGCGAAGGCTGCGGTAAGCCTCCTCATTCTCTGACGTGGGATTCTGTAGCCGATGACAGTGGGCCTGTCGCTTTTTCTCAACCATCCTGAACACCTCCTCTGTCAGCCAGGGTCTCTGGGGAGGTCTGGACCATGTACCCAAAGCAGCCATTGCAGCTGCATGAGTCACAGTCCTAAACCTCGCCCATTTACCCTCGACATCAGGAGGAGTCGGGGACGATGCCAATCCCAGCCGCAAGCGATGATGAAATTCTCGCTTGCAACTTTCATCAGATAACTGAGACCAGGCCACTTTATGTTGGAATGGGGTCCTGGGTGTACACCCACCACCGGAGTGGAAGAATGGCAGGCGCATCTTACAGATGACTAGTCGATGGTCAGAGGGCAGATCAGCTCCACGGTAGGTCCTGGTGTCAAGGACATGGGCTCGCATTCGCTGGTCCGTCACTATGTAGTCCAGCAGATGTTCTTGCTTGGACCCGGCATGCATCCATGATGTTGTGTGGATGCGCCGATGCCGGAACAGCGTGTTGGTAATTACAAGCCCATGGGCTGCACAAAAATCTGGCAGCCTCCTACCGTTGTTATTGAGCTGATCTGGCCCATGCCCTCCAATCACTCCAGACCAGGTGCCAGTATCATGACCAACTCGGGCATTGAAGTCACCCAACATGATGACTCTATCCCGAGGGGCCACTTTAGCCAGCACCTGTGACAGAAGGTCATAGAAGGCATCTGACTCATCGGCTTTGCCTGCATCCCTCCACGGATGTTCATCTTCGGTGGGGGCATAAGTAACCACGACCACCATTCCTCGCCTCCGGTTCATGGGAAGGCGAGCCCAAAGTAGCCTGGGGCTTACAGCTTCCCACACCTCACCGCCACGCTCCCACGCCCCCTTCATTATTTTGTTCAAAAGAAGACCCACATCCTGTTGTTTGGCAGTCTGCTGCCCCGAGTAGAGGACTGTCCACCCCTCATGGTGGCAGGAGCCAGAGCCGGTCCACCGGACCTCCTGAATGCCGCATAGATCCAGGCGGTACCGGTCCAGCTCCCGACAGAGGAGTGGCAGCCTCTCCTCTGCAGTGAGCGTTCGAACATTCCACGTGGCCACCCGTAGTGGCTTTTCGTTGTTTCTGGAGTAGCCCCGAGGGTAGGTATTCAATCTCCTGGCTCCGCCAAATGGGGTTTTGGCCAGGAGATGTCATAGACGCCTGTCCTCCGGCACAAGCTTATTAATTAAAAATTTCATTCATGATTTAGTCGTAATTAATTGAAGGTGGAGGGGTTACCAGCCCCTGGCACCCGTCCAGATCCCCCATTTGGTCGCTGTGGTGGTCACAAACACCATGAAGGGAAAGGCCAATTTAAATTGTCCCTCCTCCCACGGCACCGCCCACGACAGCGTTGCAGTCCGGCACCACGAGGAGGTAGGGGGTTGTTTTCTTGCTCCCCACACACACACACACAGACACACGCACACACAGACAAACTCACACACACACAGACGCACACACACAGACGCACCTGGCCGTGTCGTGCAGCGCGTCAGTGACGGCGGTAACGAGGCGGCTGAACGAGGGCCGCCAGGAGCTCTCCTCCTGCCAGCAGCTCAGCATGAGGTGGCGGAGAAGCATGGGGCAGTCCATGGGGCACGGCAGACGCCAGCCGCCCTCTACTGCCTCCATCACCTGGGGGGTACGAGACCCATAGACTACTCACACAGAGACCCATACAGTACTACTCACACAGAGACCCATAGAGTACTACTCACACAGAGACCAATAGAGTACTACTCACACAGAGACCCATAGAGTACTACTCACACAGAGACCCATAGAGTACTACTCACACAGAGACCCATAGAGTACTACTCACACAGAGACCCATAGAGTACTACTCACACAGAGACCCATAGAGTACTCACACAGAGACCCATAGACTACTCACACAGAGACCCATAGAGTACTCACACAGAGACCCATAGACTACCCACACAGAGACCCATAGACTACTCACAGAGACCCATAGAGTACTACTCACACAGAGACCCGTAGACTACTCGCACAGAGACCCATAGAGTACTACTCACACAGAGACCCATAGACTACTCACACAGAGACCCATAGACTACACGCACAGAGACCCATAGACTACAGACAGAGACCCATAGAGTACTCACACAGAGACCCATAGAGTACTACTCACACAGAGACCCATAGACTACTCACAGAGAGACCCATAGAGTACTACTCACACAGAGACCCATAGAGTACTACTCACACAGAGACCCATAGAGTACTACTCACACAGAGACCCATAGAGTACTCACACAGAGACCCATAGACTACTACTCACACAGAGACCCATAGACTACTCACACAGAGACCCATAGACTACACACAGAGACCCATAGAGTACTCACACAGAGACCCATAGACTACTCACACAGAGACCCATAGACTACTCGCACAGAGACCCATAGAGTACTACTCACACAGAGACCCATAGACTACTCACACAGAGACCCATAGACTACTCACACAGAGACCCATAGACGACTCACACAGAGACCCATAGACTACTCACAGAGAGACCCATAGACTGCTCACACAGAGACCCACAGACTACACACAGAGACCCATAGAGTACTCACGCAGATACCCATAGACTACACACAGAGACCCATAGAGTACTCACGCAGAGACCCATAGACTACTCACACAGAGACCCATAGACTACTCACACAGAGACCCATAGAGTACTCACACAAAGACCCATAGACTACTCACACAGAGACCCATAGACTACTCACACAGAGACCCATAGACTACTCACACAGAGACCCATAGACGACTCACACAGAGACCCATAGACTACTCACACAGAGACCCATAGACTACTCACACAGAGACCCATAAACTACTCACAGAGACCCACAGACTACTCGCATAGAGACCCATGGACTACTCGCACAGAGACCCATAGACTCACCACACAGAGACCCATAGACTACTCACACAGAGACCCATAGACTCATCACACAGAGACCCACAGCCGCACACAGAGATCACAGACTACTCACACAGAGACCGCAGACACACACACAGAGACCCATAGACTACTCACACAGAGACCCATAGACGACTCACACAGAGACCCATAGACTACTCACAGAGACCCATAGACTACTCACACAGAGACCCATAGACTACTCACACAGAGACCCATAAACTACTCACAGAGACCCACAGACTACTCGCATAGAGACCCATGGACTACTCGCACAGAGACCCATAGACTCACCACACAGAGACCCATAGACTACTCACACAGAGACCCATAGACTCATCACACAGAGACCCACAGCCGCACACAGAGATCACAGACTACTCACACAGAGACCGCAGACACACACACAGAGACCCATAGACTACTCACACAGAGACCCATAGACTACTCACACAGAGACCCACAGCCGCACACAGAGACCACAGACTACTCACACAGAGACCCATGGACTACTCACACAGAGACCCACAGCCGCACACAGAGACCACAGACACACACACAGAGACCACAGACTACTCACACAGAGACCCATAGAGTACTCACACAGAGACCCATAGAGTACTCACACAGAGACCCATAGACTACTCACACAGAGACCCATAGACTACTCACAAAGAGACCCACAGCCGCACACAGAGACCACAGACACACACACAGAGACCACACACTACTCACACAGAGACCCATAGAGTACTCACACAGAGACCCATAGACTACTCACACAGAGACCCATAGACTACTCACACAGAGACCCATAGACGACTCACACAGAGACCCATAGACTACTCACACAGAGACCCATAGACTACTCACACAGAGACCCATAAACTACTCACAGAGACCCACAGACTACTCGCATAGAGACCCATGGACTACTCGCACAGAGACCCATAGACTCACCACACAGAGACCCATAGACTACTCACACAGAGACCCATAGACTCATCACACAGAGACCCACAGCCGCACACAGAGATCACAGACTACTCACACAGAGACCGCAGACACACACACAGAGACCCATAGACTACTCACACAGAGACCCATAGACGACTCACACAGAGACCCATAGACTACTCACACAGAGACCCATAGACTACTCACACAGAGACCCATAGACTACTCACACAGAGACCCATAAACTACTCACAGAGACCCACAGACTACTCGCATAGAGACCCATGGACTACTCGCACAGAGACCCATAGACTCACCACACAGAGACCCATAGACTACTCACACAGAGACCCATAGACTCATCACACAGAGACCCACAGCCGCACACAGAGATCACAGACTACTCACACAGAGACAGCAGACACACACACAGAGACCCATAGACTACTCACACAGAGACCCATAGACTACTCACACAGAGACCCACAGCCGCACACAGAGACCACAGACTACTCACACAGAGACCCATAGACTACACACAGAGACCCATAGAGTACTCACACAGAGACCCATAGACTACACACAGAGACCCATAGACTACTCACACAGAGACCCACAGCCGCACACAGAGACCACAGACACACACACAGAGACCCATAGAGTACTCACACAGAGACCCATAGAGTACTCACACAGAGACCCATAGACTACTCACACAGAGACCACACACACACACACAGAGACCACACACACACACACAGGGGTGCCGGTGCTGAACTCACGTCCCGGTTGCTCATGTCCCAGTACGGCCGTTCGCCGTACGACGTCACCTCCCACATGACGATGCCGTAGCTCCACACGTCGCTCGCCGACGTGAACCTGAGCTGTGCGATGGCCTCCGGGGCGGTCCAGCGGATCGGGATCTTCCCCCCCTGGTGGGGAACATTCACAACGGGACCTCGCCCTCGGGTCCGGCACGCGGGGCTCTCGCGGCCCGACGTCGTCAGCACGCGGCGAAGGGTTTGCCGGGTCAAAGCCGGCGTCGCGAGTTCGCGCCGCCTCAACGCGCCGAGCGGCGCGCCGGACCGCCACCTCGCGAGCGACGGACGCCCCGACGGTGGCGTTGTTCTCGTGCCGTTCGCCCCTCGGCGTCGTTCCCCGGTGTGACGTCGGCGAGACGAGACCATCAAGAAACCCGTCTCCGGTGTGGACCCGTGAATCCCAAAGACAACGGCACCGTACGCTGCACGTTCGCACTTTCACCGCGCGTGTGTGCGTGTGTGTGTGTGCGCGCGTGTGTGTGTGTGCGTGTGTGCGTGTGTGCGTGTGTGTGTGCGTGTGTGCGTGTGTGTGTGCGTGCGTGTGCGTGTGTGTGCGTGTGCGCGTGTGCGCGTGTGTGTGTGTGCGTGTGTGTGTGCGTGTGTGTGCGTGCGTGTGTGTGTGTGCGCGTGTGTGTGTGCCGCGTGTGTGTGTGCGCGTGTGCGTGTGTGTGTGTGTGCGTGTGTGTGTGTGTGTGCGTGTGTGTGTGCGTGTGTGCGTGTGTGTGTGTGTGTGAGGTTAATGCATTTCGCTCGACGCACGGCGGCGGCAAGTACTTTCGGCGAAAAACGGAAGCCCCTTAGGGAGCGGTAACGCCGAGCCGACACACGCCGGGCCGGTGCGGCTTTGCCTTCTCCTCGACTCCGGCCGAACGTCGGCCGAACGTCGGCCGAACGTCGGCCGTTGACGACGCCGGCGGTTCTTTTTTCCTGCCCCGCCTTACCCGGGAGGTGTACGCTCCCTCGGGGTCGGCGTCCAGTAGAAGCGTCCGCGAGAGGCCAAAGTCGGACACCTTGCACGTCAGCTCGCCACTCACGAGCACGTTGCGGGCGGCCAGGTCGCGGTGCACATAGCCCCTGCGGGACAGGTACTCCATGCCCGATGCGACGTCACGCAGCATCCCGAGCAGCTGGGTCACCACAAGGTGCCCCTTCTTCATCTACGCCGTGCCCGGTCAGAGTGGGGAGGGAGGGAGGAAGGGAGGGAGGAGAGAGGAGGGAGGAGGGGAGGAGAGGGGGGAGAGGGGGGAGGAGAGGGGGGAGAAGGAAGAGGAAGGGAGGGAGAAGAGGAGGCGATGAGGAGCCGCCTGGGTGACGTTGTGCTGCTTGTGCGGCCGTCTGGAATGCTCTTCCGGGAGCTGCTATGTGCGTTTAAGTCATCGTTGTCTATACTAATTTGTTTAGAACTCTCGCTTGTTGTGTTTAGTTTGTCCCCCCCCCCCCCCCGCGCCAGTTGGCTACGTAAGGTACAAAGGAAGTTTGACGCAGACGCGTGCAGTTGTCACCACAAGCGGAGCCCCGGTTAGTAGGAACTACGGCACACACACACACAACAACGCCACCGTGTGCTCTCCATTTGTGGACAGTTACACACACAACCGCTGAGGAGTGTGAGACTGCAACACACCGATGATCGCATCATTTGGCATTGCCACTTCTTACCCTGAGGAATAAATCCAAGGAATGGTTTTCCATGAATTCGGTGATGATCATGACAGGTTTACCTTCGTCGAGAGGACAAGAAAACCAAACGTTAGCAATCCACGCACAGCATTCACGACTTATACCGTAACATCATCACTTGGTCACATACACACCTTGTATCTCTGCCAAGATGCGTCGCTGTGGGTTCATACACAGGGACTCCTCTACTTACGAATGTTCCTCTTACGAACTCTCAGAGGTACAAACAAACCTGTTCGTACGTCCGGTTGCCCGTTCTGAACCGAGAGTCAGAGGTTCAACCTCTGCGCAATAGATGGTGGTGGCATCTACATCTGCAGAACGTGAAGAACCAGTGACATCTTCATCTGCAGAACGTGAAGAACCAGTGGCATCTACATCTGCAGAACGTGAAAAACCAGTGGCATCTACATCTGTGGAATGTAAGAACCAGTGGCATCTACATCTGCAGAAGCTGAAGAACCAGTGACATCTACATCTGAACAACGTGAAGAACCAGTGGCATCTTCATCTACAGAAGCTGAAGAACCAGTAGCATCTACGTCTGCAGAAGGTGAAAAACCAATGGCATCTACATCTGCAGAACGTGAAGAACCAGTGGCATCTACATCTGCAGAACGTGAAGAACCAGTGGCATCTACATCTGCAGAACGTGAAGAACCAGTGGCATCTACATCTGCAGAACGTGAAGAACCAGTGCATCTACATCTGCAGAACGTGAAGAACCAGTGGCATCTACATCTGCAGAACGTGAAGAACCAGTGGCATCTACATCTGCAGAACGTGAAGAACCAGTGGCATCTACATCTGCAGAATGTGAAGAACCAGTGCATCTACATCTGCAGAACGTGAAGAACCAGTGGCATCTACATCTGCAGAATGTGAAGAACCAGTGGCATCTACATCTGCAGAACGTGAAGAACCAGTGGCATCTATATCTGCAGAACGTGAAGAACCAGTTGCATCTACATCTGCAGAACGTGAAGAACCAATTGCATATACATCTGCAGAACGTGAAGAACCAGTGGCATCTACATCTGCAGAACGTGAAGAAACAGTGGCATCTACATCTGCAGAATGTGAAGAACCAGTGGCATCTACAGCTGCAGAATATGAAGAACCAGTGGCATCTACATCTACAGAACGTGAAGAACCAGTGGTATCTACATCTGCAGAACGTGAAGAACCAGTGGCATCTACATCTGCAGCACGTGAGGAACCAGTGGCATCTACATCTGTAGAACGTAAAGAACCAGTGGCATATAGTGTATAGTAGTGTATAATGTAGTATAGAGGAGTGTAGTGTATAGTCGTGTATAGTGTAGTGTATAGTGTAATGTGCAGTGTGTATAGTGTAGTATAGAAGTACACCACACCGGTGTGTTGGAGAGCAAATCCACAACATTTCCAATCTGAGTACAATCACCAGTGATTACAACAACGGGCATAATCAACTGGACAGCCAGCTACATAACAGACTTGCCAGTTTTAAACTTGGTTCGAAGCTTTTGTGACTGCAGGAATTAATCTTTGTTTTTTTCGGTAAAGTCACGTATAAATAAGAAATAATAAAATAACATAATAGCGTCCGACGTTTCGGTTGTATACATCTGGGGTTATGTATTTCCCCTCTCTCTTAAATTTAGTTCTTCTGTACCTGATGATGGCTGCTTGCGTTGCAACCGAAACGTCGTACGCTATTATGTTATTTTATTACTTCTTATTTATATGTGACTTTACCGGAAAAAACAAACAAAGATTAATTGCCAGTTTTTAGTTTGTTTAAAATGCGTGTGGCATCGATTGGACGTTCTCGAAGCTCACTCTTGGTGACGACGCCCTCCAGGCGGACGATGTTGTCATGCTCGAACTGTCCCATGATGCTCGCCTCACATAGGAAGTCCTGCTGCTGCTGCTGCTTGCTGGATCCGCCCTTCAGCGTCTTGATGGCCACGCGCACTGTTGCCGCCCCTCCGCTGCTGCCCTGGCGCTTCAGGTATCCGACGTGCACCTTCCCAAACTCTCCTGCGGGCCGAGGGGTCGATGACAGTGGGTAGCACGTAGAGCAGGTGTGAGGACCCCCCCCCCCCCCCGTCCAGCTGCTAAGTAAGGTTCGTCACGTGAATAAAACGTGCCGATTGCTTGCTGGTTGTGCACTGGCCGGTCGCTGTGTGGTGCATGCGTTGGGGAGTGTGAACCCACGGCAAACGACGGGGTGCTGCAAAACAATGTTAACACTTTTCGATTTGAAGCTTTCGTGACTGCGAGGATTCATCTTCTTTGGTTCTTTCGCTAAAGTCACCACCACGTAGAATGAGACTAAAATAATAAATTGACTAAAATAAAATAACGCGGTAAAACTCTCACGACGTTTCGGCCACAACGCAAGCGGCCTTCATCAGGTGAAGGGGACGAGACTGTCTGGAGGACAGCGCTGTCCAGACAGTCTCGTCCCCTTCACCTGATGAAGGCCGCTTGTGTTGTGGCCGAAACGTCGTGAGAATATTATTGTGTTATTTTATTTTATCAATTTATTATTTTATTCTCATTCTACGTGACTTTACCGAAAGAACCAAAGAAAATGTTAACACTTATATTGGACTATTGGTTTTTCATGGAAAGAGAACGGATAATAATAATACTACGCTGTAACATGATAACAAATCCATAATGGAGATTTTTTTTCTCTGGTTAGTGCACGTAAATTTATAAATGTATGGTTAAACTCGCCACCACCCGACCCAGCCAACTAGTAAGGCTTGTCACGTATGGATGATCTGGGTTCGCGAAAGCCTACGTGTTAAACATGATAACAAATGTAACGTTAATAGCTTCCAAAAGTCAAAGAGTTTCTCCCACTCGTTCGCCGTCGTTGTCACCGTGCGCCTGGAACCTTCTCCAGGCGGTCTCCAGAGCCCCGGAGGCACAAACATTTCTTGCGGCGGCGTTGCAAATTCTCAGCAGTGTCAACATTTGAAGTGGGCGCCCTGTGAGTAAGTTTTAGTTAACGGGTACCACGGTACAGACGTGCCCGCCCCCGCCCCCCCCCCCCCCCCCCCCCCGTTCACCTGCTCCGATGACGCGTCCAAGTTTGATTCGCGAGGCGTCGATTTCCGTCGCGAACTCGCGGAGAGCATCGCTGGGCTCGTCGTAGTCGTGTGGGTCAATGTACAGCCTGAAGCCCGGCATCTTCACTGTGGGTGGCAACGGCGAAATCAACCGTGCACAGGGTGTGTGTGTGTGTGTGAGTGTATGAGGGGTGGTGTGTGAGGGGTGGTGTGTGTGGGGTGGTGTGTGTGTGAGTGTCCGGCAAAACAACCCCCTACCTCCTCGCGGTGCCGGACGGGAAACTCTGTCGTGGACAGTGCTGTGGGGGGAGGGCCAATTCCGATTGGCCCCTCCTCTCATGGCGTCTGTGACCACCACAGTGGCTAAACGGGGGCTCTGGACGGGTACGAGGGGCCGGTAACCCCTCCACCTTCAACATTTTTACCACGAAACTACGAATAAAAAATTTAACTAATAAGCTTGTGCCGGAGGCCCCGGGGGGACAGGCGTCTATGACGTCTCCTGGCCAAACCCCAATTGGCAGAGCCAGGAGATTGAATCTCTACCCTCGGGTCTCCTCCAGAAACAACGAAAAGCCACTTCGTGTGGCCACGTGGAATGTTCGAACGCTCACTGCGGAGGAGAGGCTGCCACTCCTCTGTCGGGAGCTGGACCGGTACCGCCTGGATCTCTGTGGCATTCAGGAGGTCCGGTGGACCGGTTCTGGCTCCTGCCACAATGAGGGGTGGACAGTCCTCTACTCGAGGCAGCAGACTGCCAAACAACAGGGTGTGGCTCTTCTTTTGAACACAAGAATGAAGGGGGCATGGGAGCGTGGTGATGAGGTGTGGGAAGCTGTAAGCCCCAGGCTACTTTGGGCTCGCCTTCCCATCAACCGGAGACGAGGAGTGGTGGTCGTGGTTACTTATGCCCCCACCGAAGACGAACATCCGTGGAGGGATGCAGGCAAAGCCGATGAGTCAGATGCCTTCTATGACCTGTCACAGGTGCTGGCTAAAGTGGCCCCTCGGGATAGAGTCATCTTGTTTGGTGACTTCAATGCCCGAGTTGGTCATGATGCTGGCACCTGGTCTGGAGTGATTGGAGGGCATGGGCCAGATCAGCTCAATAACAACGGTAGGAGGCTGCTTGATTTTTGTTCAGCCCATGGGCTTGTAATTACCAACACGCTGTTCCGGCATTGGCGCATCCACACAACATCATGGATGCATGCCGGGTCCAAGCAAGAACATCTGCTGGACTACATAGTGACGAATCAGCGGATGCGAGCCCATGTCTTTGACACCAGGACCTACCGTGGAGCTGATCTGCCCTCTGACCATCGACTAGTCATCTGTGAGATGCGCCTGCCATTCTTCCACTCCGGTGGTGGGTGTACACCCAGGACCCCATTCCAACCTAAAGTGGCCTAGTCTCAGTTATCTGATGAAAGTTGCAAGCGAGAATTTCATCATCGCTTGCGGCTGGGGTTGGCATCGTCCCCCACTCCTCCTGATGTCGAGGGTAAATGGGCGAGGTTTAGGACTGTGACTCATGCAGCTGCATTGGCTGCTTTGGTTACGCAGTCCAGACCTCCCCAGAGACCCTGGCTGAAAGAGGAGGTGATCAGGATAGTTTAGAAAAAGCGACAGGCCCACTGTCATCGGCTACAGAATCCCACATCAGAGAATGAGGAGGCTTACCGCAGCCTTCGCTCGGAGGTTCGGAGAGCCGTGAGGCGCTGCAAGGATGGGTGGTGGTCGTGGGTTGCTGAGGAGATGGAGACTGCCTCAGTGGCCCGTGATCACAAATCTCTATTTAACTCCATCAAAAAAGCAACCTGCAGCGCCACACCTATTACCAACATTAGGGGAAAAAACGGTGATCCAATCTCCGACCCCCAGGAACCGGTTTGCAGATTTGCTGAGCATTTCTGTGAGGTCCTGGAGGAGGCACAAAGTGGGGATGACCCTGCTGAGGCTGCGGTGCCTCAAATATTGGAAGAAGTCACCCCCTGTGAGTGGCTGGCTGAGGTGCCATCTGTTGAGGAAGCACTGAAGGCGATCCGGAGTCTGAGACCAGGAAAGGCACCGGGCAGAGATGATCTCCCAAGCGAAATGCTGAGGGAGGGTGGCGTTTGTGCACAGACTGCCCTATATGACATCATAACAACAGTCTGGACCACTGGACAGGTTCCACAGGATTGGAAGGATGCCCTGGTGGTCCCCCTCTTTAAGAAGGGGGACCGCACAGACTGTAACAACTACAGGGGCATCTCACTCCTCAGTGTGCCGGGAAAGGTCCTGGCAAGGATTATTCAACATCGCCTTGCCAGGCACGCTGAGGAGAGGCTTGCGGAGCCCAAATGCGGTTTCAGGAAAGGGCGGTCCTGCACAGATGCGATATTTTCTGTCCGTCTGCTACAGCAGATGTGTAGGGAATTCCAGCAAGACCTACATCTCTGCTTTAGTGACCTGGTCAAGGCCAGGTCACACCGCCCTCTCCAGCTGCGACATGATTCCCAGTCGCACGCTCGTTGTCACGCGCTTCGCTCCGTCCCCGTTGCTCGAGGGTGAAGATGGCAATGGCGGTAACGGTGATTGTGGTTGGTGTGCTGGTGGCAGGTGGGGTTTTTGCCACCTCTTCGTGGGAAGAGGAAGAACACTGTCTCTCAATAGTGGAGATGCGGAGAGCGACTTGTGTATGCATCAATGTCTTGAGTGGCGTACCACTACCACCACCAACATCGGAGGGTGGAGGAGCGATACTCACAACAACGAGCGGAGCGCCGGGTGGCTAAAGCACAGCGGGTTGGCACAGTAGGGGGCACAGGTGGTGCATCAGCCAGTCATCTCAGTCAGTCGACCTGTGGCACCTGCTGGGTCTGCCCCGTGACCTCCTGCCGGTGGGCGTTCGACACTTCGCGTGGCCTCAGGGTGCACATAGCCTGGCACAAGCGTCGTGGTGACGTCACCGCCACTTAGTGGCGAATGGCGGTTGTTGTTGTGAGTGTATGAGGGGTGGTGTGTGAGGGGTGGTGTGTGAGGGGTGGTGTGTGTGTATGTGTGTGAGAGGTGTGTGTGTATGAGGGGTGGTGTGTGTGTGTGTATGAGGGGTGGTGTGTGTGTATGAGGGGTGGTGTGTGTGTGTGAGTGGTGTGTGCGTGTGTATGAGGAGTGGTGTGTGTGTGGGTGTATGAGTGGTGTGTGTGTGTGAGGTGTGTGTGTGTGTATGAGGAGTGGTGTGTGTGTGTATGAGTGGTGGTGTGTGTGTGTGTGAGAGGTGTGTGTGTATGAGAAGTGGTGTGTGTGTGTGTATGAGTGGTGTGTGTGTGTATGAGGAGTGGTGTGTATGAGGTGTGTGTGTGTGTATGAGAGGTGTGTGTGTATTAGAGGTGTGTGTGTATGAGTGGTGTGTGTGTGTGTATGAGTGGTGTGTGTATGTGTGTGTATGAGTGGTGTGTGTGTATGAGGTGTGTGTGTGAGAGGTGTGTGTGTGAGTGGTGTGTGTGTATGAGAGATGTGTGTGTGTATGAGATGTGTGTGTGTGTGTTTTAGAGGTGGTGTGTGTGTCTGTGCGCACGAGGTGGAGCAGCGTTTACCCCGCACGCTGTAGAAGCGAGGTCGTCTCTCTTCGCGAGGCTCCGACTCTGCTGCTTGCCAGTGACCACTCCTCCTCCTGCTCCTCCTCCTTCAAACGCAACGCGATGCACGCAGCCATCAAGGCGGCGGCGGCGGCAGTGCTGAAGAAGCGAGTTCGCTCTGGAGGATGCCGCCTCTTACCCAACGTTCAGGGAGATTGCCTCTTGGTGGTGCAGCCAGATCACGTGGGAACACTCAGAACGCCCGTGGGACCCCCCCCCCCAGTGTGACCCCCCCCCAGTGTGACCCCCCCCCAGTGTGACCCCTCAGTGTGACCCCCCAGTGTGACCCCCCCCAGTGTGACCCCCCCCCCCCCAGTGTGACCCCCCCCACCTCTTCTTGACGATGATGCAGGCAGCAGCGATGAGCAGCATCAGCCCCACGAGGCCAGCGGACAGCAAGGAGGCCCAGAGGGTCACTTCCTGAGTCGCTTGTGCTGGGGGAGGGGGAGGGAAAGAGTTACAAACACATCCTTCACTTACTACAACAACCACAACAACCACAACAACCACAACAACAAACACAACAACTACAACAACACCACAATAACCACCAACACAACAACAAACAACAGGACAACACCTACAACAACAACCACAACAACTACAACAGACAGGAGGGGTGGGGTGGTGGTGCTGTTGGTGGGGTCGTGGTAGGTTGGTAGTGGGGTTGGTGGTGGCGTAGTGGTTGGGTGGGGATGGTGCTGGTGAGTGGTGGTGGTGGTGGTGGTGGGTGGTGGTGGTGGTCCTTGTGGCGTAGTGGTTGGGTGGGGATGGTGCTGGTGAGTGGTGGTGGATGGGTGGTGGTGGTGGCGTAGTGGTTGGGTGGGGATGGTGCTGAGATGATGGGGATGGTGCTGGTGAGTGGTGCTGGTGAGTGGTGGTGGTGGGGTGGTGGTGGTGGCGGCGTAGTGGTTGGGTGGGGATGGTGCTGGGGTGGTGGTTGGTGGTGGTGGGGTTGGTAGTGGTTGGTGGTGGGTGGGTGGTGATTGGTGGTGGGTGGTGGTGGTGCTGGTTGGTGGTGGTGGGGTGGTGGTTGGGGGTTGGTGGTGGTGGGGTTGGTGGTGGTTGGTGGTGGTGGGGTTGGTGCTGGTTGGTGGTGGGTGGGTAGTGGTTGGGTAGTGGTTGGGTAGGGTTGATGCTGGTTGGTGGTGATTGGGTGGTGGTGGCTGGTGGTGGTGGGTGGTGGCTGGATTGGGTGGTGGTGATGATTGGGTGGTGGTGGTGATTGGGTGGTGGTGGTGATTGGGTGGTGGTGGTGGTGATTGGGTGGTGGTGGTGATTGGGTGGTGGTGGTGGTGATTGGATGGTGGTGTTGTTGCTCACGTGCGGGAGACGTCTGGAAGTGGAGTGTGGGGCTGTAGTCTCCGTAGCCGGCGGCGTTGCGAGCGCGGACCTGCAGTGAGTAAACCGCGGCATGCCGGAGCCCCGTCACGGTGATGCTCGGCACGCTGGAGATCAGCCTCATTACCTCTCTCTCGTCGTCGTCATCCTGGTGGGGGGGGGGTACAGATGGGGGGGGGGGGTACAGATGGGGGGGGTACAGATGGGGGGGGGATGGGTTCAGACTCATCCCACAGAGACCCATTGAACCTGGGTCACGTGGTTCACAGCATATTGTTGTGTTAACTCTACTGCCCTCCACTTGCTAATGCAAAGACAAAGAACCCCCGTATAGTGTCAGCAGACTGTCGGGGCGAGTGCTGTTAGCGGCCACCTATGGAGGCACACGAGGGGGTGGGTGGTCAGCACCACGCCCGGCCGCCTTTGTATCCACAATGGTGATGTTGTTGTATACGGCCCTTTTTCCACAATTAATATCCATAAGAATATTTACGGATGCATACACCTAGATTTCTTTTTCCTTTCTTTCGTGACAAACAATTTATATTTTTTAATGAATAAAACCCGTAAGCCAGAAACACGAAAAACCAGATGTCGGTCATAAACAGGCCATATATATATAAAGAAATAATAAAACTCTCAAGGCGAGGATGTAACAGCTATCGGCAAAAATCTCCAGGTGAACAAGAGTTTGATGGGCCCTTAGGAAAGGTCCCTCCGAGGTCAGAACACCAAGAGAGTAGACACGGAGACGCCAACAGGGTAAATCGTATACATATTCTTTTCCTTATTTGCCAGTAAAAAAAAAGGCAACAACAAGAATAAGATAGAATTAGCGATCCTAACGCTCACTCCAATTAAGAACAGGCCACCAGACACATCAGTGAATTATTATCCAATGATTAATTCGCTATCAAATGATTTTCACCTTTAATACTTTTACTGTTAAAACAAAGCTTGGAGCAGGAATACCGAGTCACATCAAAGGTTATCGAGAAGGAATGAGACAATGGGTAAACTTGCAAAAGAATTTAAACAATATCCCAAGCAACCCCGACCACCTTTGTCCCTCTCACAGCGCGGAGAAGCAGGAATTACACCTTATCACAAGGGGCCATCTGGAAAAGCCAGCCGGGTTTGATGAGGAGACACACCCCACCCCACACACGGCAACCAGGCAAAGACAGTTTTAAAGAAAATTGCAATATAATATTAATAATAACAACGTGTTAACCTTACACGACATTCCATTATAGAACCTTACAGAACCAAGGGATATGGATTCCAACAATCAAGAAACAGACCTCTTAAACTCAGGATGATAATTATTTTTCTTTTTAATAATTCTATCATAACAATTCGAACCTCGGTAAAACTGAGAGGTGTCGGGAGGACGTAGTTACAAACACGAGTCTTGGCGAACATGGGACCAAATGGTATTTGAGAAATATAAGTCGAAAGTATAAAGAGGTGCTCCCGACCACCTTTGTCTCTCCCAAAGAGCGCGAGAGAGGAATTTCACGCCAGGGCAAACAGATCGTTATCGCGGGGACCATCTGCCACACACGGGACTTAGTAGTGGCCCCCACCCCACCCTGCACACGGGCAGCAAAAGAGCGTATCTACTCGTTCACCAACGTCCGTCGAGTCCGAACCAACTACTGAAAGAAGAATCAACTGATACGTATGATACACTGCCCCCCACTACACGACAAACCAGACGTCTGCTTGACGCAAAGAATCGATTCCGAACATTGGCCTACTCTTTCACCACTCATACCATTCAACACACACACACACGGGTCATTAACAAAGCCTAAAACCTCAAGCCATTGAACCATCCGTGATTGTGGAAACATCGCAACGACCGAGTGAATAATCCATCGTTTTTAAGAGTGTTCATAATTTTCCTCTGTAATATTGTGCTGGGGCTGTACTTCTAACCGCATAAATTACCAACTGACCCATTAAGAAGGATTAATTCTTGGCACCTCACCACGGAGCGCCGCTCGCGGGGGTGAAGAGCGTGCTCAACCGGTTCCCTGTCAGGGATCTGGCCACAATTAATTAAAAGATTGGCCCGAGATAAGGATCTAAAAAGGAAACATCGCCACCCATTGAGTCGCGTTGAGAAGTCGATTAGAAATACTTGAGTCGTTCGTTAATATTTTCTTTCTACATAATCTTGCTGGTATCCACGAATGAAATAACGAATTCAAACGCATATTTGTGCCTCCAAGAATAATACTGGTTGGAGTGCCCTTTCAACGAGTAGCGTTGCATAATAATTAGGCATCCTATTGTTAACAACGTGACAATAATTGCATTAAGGGCCGCGCATGATCAATGACCGAATGCTGTGTTGTGTGACAATTCAAGTAACGAAGCATTGCGGCCATCGAGTGTTGTTGATAAGGTAATTAGAAGTATTTCAGTCGAACGCTTTAAATTCATAATCGTTATGAATCAATGAACGAACATCAACGTGGTACTGTGCTGACGATTTCAAGCATAATAACTTCGCATATCAGAATGTATTAAGGATTGGATACGAATCAAAGACCAAGTGCCGTATTGTGTAACAATTCAAGTATACGAGTTTGCATATTATAAAGTTAAGGTTTGATAGAATAGTTCGCATATTTTTAATCTCTCTCTCAACAACCGATCGATTGCGTTACGCGTCGGGAATTAACCACAGGTGCCGCTATCGAGGTGAAACAACGCAATCGTGATGTTATCATGTTAACGCTGTGTTGAAATTCCAAATCCCGAGATTGAGTTTTCATATTATCCAAAAATTAAAGTTAGCTAGAAATAAAATTGATAAAAGCAGAACGTTTGTGTGTGATTCTTCCTGAAATCCTGCATAATATTGTTCTGCGTATGAGATCTGAATCCTGGGGACCTATCATAAGTACACTATCACCACACATAATCCATAACACACATAATTCATAATGTTCAATCGAGAGTAATCGTATCCTTATCGATAATACGGAATTAAAGAGCAGAGTCGAATCGACTCTCTCTCATTCACGCTCACAACGCCTGCGTCACTGCATACGATTAATTGCGTTATTCCAATTCATAACACAATCCTCGTCACCGAGGCTCGACCTTATAATCCATAACGACCTGCATTATCATAACCACGCCCACTCGCATAAATTAATACGATTATCTCTCGAATCAGCATAATTTATGCGCATAATTACACTGATTAACATAATCTCGGATAAATTATGCGAATCTCAAATTTCATTTAATTTTCATTATTTTCATCAATTTTCATAACACCTATATATACAACAATGTTTACTACACACCGCACCAGGGTACTCAATTTGAGGCTGAGTCGACCTAGGGGAGACCCAGGACTCGTTCAGATTATCGTCACCGGTGCCGGTTGCCGTGAGCGGGAATCGAACTCGAGACGCCGGGTTCGTAGCGCAGCGTAGCGCGTACCGCTGCACCACCGCTCAGCACGCACGCGCGTGCACATTCACACGCACACGCGCGCAAGTAAAATGGATAATCGCGAGCCGCTACGCACCTCGTCAAAGCATTTGACTTCATAGTCCATAACGATGCCATTGGGCTGCTCCGGCTCGGCCCAGGTCAACAGGACGGCGTCTTCAGAGACGTTCTCCGTGTGGACACGCACCACGGGTGACGGTGCTGCGGGCAATCACAGCACGTGGTCACGCGCTAACTCATTTGTTTACCCCCCTGGCCAACGTCTCGAGGTGCGGTGAGTGACAATCGGTGTGCGTTTCCCCTTGCTGCTGAATGAAATACGAGTTGCGGTGAGATGTTCAAACACCAAGCAGACGGACGCCGCTTTGCGAGCAATCAACTCAACTTGCAACAGCCACACACGCGGTGCTTTGTGGTGAACATGCGAACATGGCTATGATGATGATAATTATAACAGATGATGCATTGTCTTTAAGAATAATAATTAGAGTGGTATATGCATTAAGAATAATATAATTATAATGTTACATGTGTAGTGGAGTAACGCGCGTGCTGGGGGGGTTTGCAAGCGGTGTGCACGGATGTGTGAGGTCGCATCGGGGCGAACAGGAGCAGCGAGAGACGCCCAAAAAAGATGCAGAGCAGTGATTGGCTGGCTGCAAATGCAGGCGGACAATTTAGATGCAGAGCGGTGATTGGCTGGCTGCAAATGCAGGCGGACAACTAAGATGAAGAGCGATGATTGGCTGGCTGCAAATGCAGGCGGACAATTTAGATGCAGAGCGGTGATTGGCTGGCTGCAAATGCAGGCGGACAACTAAGATGCAGAGCGGTGATTGGCTGGCTGCAAATGCAGGCGGCCAATTTAGATGCAGAGCGGTGATTGGCTGGCTGCAAATGCAGGAGGACAATTTAGATGGAGAGCGGTGATTGGCTGGCTGCAAATGCAGTAGATGCAGAGCGGTGATTGGCTGGCTGCAAATGCAGGAGGACAATTTAGATGGAGAGCGGTGATTGGCTGGCTGCAAATGCAGGCAGACAACTAAGATGCAGAGCGGTGATTGGCTGGCTGCAAATGCAGGCGGCCAATTTAGATGCAGAGCGGTGATTGGCTGGCTGCAGATGCAGGCGGACAACTAAGATGCAGAGCGGTGATTGGCTGGCTGCAAATGCAGGCGGCCAATTTAGATGCAGAGCGGTGATTGGCTGGCTGCAAATGCAGGCAGACAATTTAGATGCAGAGTGGTGATTGGCTGGCTGCAAATGCAGGCGGACAACTAAGATGCAGAGCGGTGATTGACTGGCTGCAAATGCAGGCGGACAATTTAGATGCAGAGCGGTGATTGGCTGGCTGCAAATGCAGGCGGCCAATTTAGATGCAGAGCAGTGATTGGCTGGCTGCAAATGCAGGCGGACAACTAAGATGCAGAGCGGTGATTGGCTGGCTGCAAATGCAGGCGGACAACTAAGATGCAGAGCGGTGATTGGCTGGCTGCAAATGCAGGCGGCCAATTTAGATGCAGAGCGGTGATTGGCTGGCTGCAAATGCAGGCGGCCAATTTAGATGCAGAGCGGTGATTGGCTGGCTGCAAATGCAGGCGGACAATTTAGATGCAGAGTGGTGATTAGCTGGCTGCAAATGCAGGCGGACAACTAAGATGCAGAGCGGTGATTGACTGGCTGCAAATGCAGGCGGCCAATTTAGATGCAGAGCGGTGATTGGCTGGCTGCAAATGCAGGCGGCCAATTTAGATGCAGAGCAGTGATTGGCTGGCTGCAAATGCAGGCGGACAACTAAGATGCAGAGCGGTGATTGGCTGGCTGCAAATGCAGGCAGCCAATTTAGATGCAGAGCGGTGATTGGCTGGCTGCAAATGCAGGCGGACAACTAAGATGCAGAGCGGTGATTGGCTGGCTGCAAATGCAGGCGGCCAATTTAGATGCAGAGCGGTGATTGGCTGGCTGCAAATGCAGGCGGACAATTTAGATGCAGAGCGGTGATTGGCTGGCTGCAAATGCAGGCGGACAACTAAGATGCAGAGCGGTGATTGGCTGGCTGCAAATGCAGGCGGCCAATTTAGATGCAGAGCGGTGATTGCCTGGCTGCAAATGCAGGCGGACAATTTAGATGCAGAGTGGTGATTGGCTGGCTGCAAATGCAGACGGACAACTAAGATGCAGAGCGGTGATTGGCTGGCTGCAAATGCAGGCGGCCAATTTAGATGCAGAGCCGTGATTGGCTGGCTGCAAATGCAGGCAGACAACTAAGATGCAGAACGGTGATTGGCTGGCTGCAAATGCAGGCGGCCAATTTAGATGCAGAGCGGTGATTGGCTGGCTGCAAATGCAGGCGGACAATTTAGATGCAGAGTGGTGATTGGCTGGCTGCAAATGCAGGCGGACAACTAAGATGCAGAGCGGTGATTGGCTGGCTGCAAATGCAGGCGGCCAATTTAGATGCAGAGCGGTGATTGCCTTGCTGCAAATGCAGGCGGCCAATTTAGATGCAGAGCGGTGATTGGCTGGCTGCAAATGCAGGCGGACAATTTAGATGCAGAGTGGTGATTGGCTGGCTGCAAATGCAGGCGGACAACTAAGATGCAGAGCGGTGATTGGCTGGCTGCAAATGCAGGCGGCCAATTTAGATGCAGAGCGTTGATTGGCTGGCTGCAAATGCAGGCAGACAATTTAGATGCAGAGCAGTGATTGGCTGGCTGCAAATGCAGGCGGATAACTAAGATGCAGAGCGGTGATTGGCTGGCTGCAAATGCAGGCGGCCAATTTAGATGCAGAGCGGTGATTGGCTGGCTGCAAATGCAGGCGGACAATTTAGATGCAGAGCGGTGATTGGCTGGCTGCAAATGCAGGCGGACAACTAAGATGCAGAGCGGTGATTGGCTGGCTGCCAATGCAGGCGGCCAACTAAGATGCAGAGCGGTGATTGGCTGGCTGCAAATGCAGGCGGAGAACTAAGATGCAGAGCGGTGATTGGCTGGCTGCAAAGGCAGGCGGATAATTAAGATGCAGAGCGGTGATTGGCTGGCTGCAAATGCAGACGGCCAACTAAGATGCAGAGCGGTGATTGGCTGGCTGCAAATGCAGGCGGACAACTAAGATGCAGAGCGGTGATTGGCTGGCTGCAAAGGCAGGCGGATAATTAAGATGCAGAGCGGTGATTGGCTGGCTGCAAATGCAGACGGCCAACTAAGATGCAGAGCGGTGATTGGCTGGCTGCAAATGCAGGCGGCATTGTCTTTAATCATAATATAATTATCATGTTTTTGCATAGCATTTAAGAATAATATTATTATAATGTTACGTGCATGTTATAGCTTTTAAAAAAGGAGAATGTATTTTTAAAAAAATATTTTAAAAAACCATTTAAAAAAAGATAGAAAAAAAATATTTGACAAAAGCAACTAAATATCTAAAGATGAAAAAGAGATTTCAAAAAAAGAAAGACGATGGCCGTGAGCGAGAGGAGGAGGGGGGGGACGACGACTCACGATCCCGTGACGTGGCGACGTGGACGGCCGCGAACGCCGAGGGGACGCCGCTCAGGCGGGAGACGCCATTGGTGGCGTGCACCTCCAGGGTGTAGGCGGCGTTCTCACGCAGGCCGCTCACCTCCACCTTGGCGTTCGTCAGCGGGAGCGGAGGCCGGAACCTCACGGCCGGGCCGCACGGCGGCGCCGGCTCCTGGCCCCTCTCCCCACCCCCCCCCCGCAGGGGGGGCGGGTGGAGCCGGCACACGACGGAGTAGGCGAGGTCGGAGCGCCCGCCGGGATTCGCCGGCGGGCTCCACCGGAGCGTCACCGAGGCGGCGGCGGAGAGCGGCGAGGTGACGACGTCCCTGGGGGCCGACGGCGGCTCTGGCCGGGGGGGGGGGGCGGAACGGAGTTTATAGAGTAGTGTAGTAGGTAGTGTATAGTGTAGTGTATAGTGTAGTGTATAGCGCAGTAGTGTATAGTGTAGTGTAGTACTGTATAGTAGTAGTGTATAGTGTAGTGTATAGTGTAGTGTAGTAGGTAGTGTATAGTGTAGTGTATAGTGTAGTGTATAGCGCAGTAGTGTATAGTGTAGTGTAGTACTGTATAGTAGTAGTGTATAGTGTAGTGTATAGTGTAGTGTATAGTGTAGTGTATAGTGTAGTGTAGTAGGTAGTGTATAGTGTAGTGTATAGTGTAGTGTATAGTGTAGTGTACAGTGTAGTAGTGTATAGTGTAGTGTATAGTGTAGTGTAGTAGTGTAGTGTATAGTGTAGTGTAGTAGTGTATAGTGTAGTGTATAGTGTAGTGTATAGTGTAGTGTGTAGTGTAGTGTAGTAGGTAGTGTATAGTGTAGTGTAGTAGTGTATAGTGTAGTAGTGTATAGTGTAGTGTAGTAGTGTAGAGTGTAGTGTAGTAGTGTATAGTGTAGTGTAGTAGTGTATAGTATAGTGTAGTAGTGTATAGTGCAGTGTAGTAGTGTATAGTGTAGTGTATAGTGTAGTGTAGTAGTGTAGTGTATAGTGTAGTGTAGTGTATAGTGTAGTGTAGTAGGTAGTGTATAGTGTAGTGTATAGTGTAGTAGTGTATAGTGCATAGTAGTGTATAGTGTAGTGTATAGTATAGTGTATAGTGTAGTAGTGTATAGTGTAGTGTACAGTGTAGTAGTGTATAGTGTAGTGTATAGTGTAGTGTATAGTGTAGTGTGTAGTGTAGTGTAGTAGGTAGTGTATAGTGTAGTGTAGTAGTGTATAGTGTAGTAGTGTATAGTGTAGTGTAGTAGTGTAGAGTGTAGTGTAGTAGTGTATAGTGTAGTGTAGTAGTGTATAGTATAGTGTAGTAGTGTATAGTGCAGTGTAGTAGTGTATAGTGTAGTGTATAGTGTAGTGTAGTAGTGTAGTGTATAGTGTAGTGTAGTAGTGTATAGTGTAGTGTATAGTGTAGTGTATAGTGTAGTGTGTAGTGTAGTGTAGTAGGTAGTGTATAGTGTAGTGTAGTAGTGTATAGTGTAGTAGTGTATAGTGTAGTGTAGTAGTGTAGAGTGTAGTGTAGTAGTGTATAGTGTAGTGTAGTAGTGTATAGTATAGTGTAGTAGTGTATAGTGCAGTGTAGTAGTGTATAGTGTAGTGTATAGTGTAGTGTAGTAGTGTAGTGTATAGTGTAGTGTAGTAGTGTATAGTGTAGTGTATAGTGTAGTGTATAGTGTAGTGTGTAGTGTAGTAGGTAGTGTATAGTGTAGTGTATAGTGTAGTGTAGTAGTGTATAGTGTAGTGTAGTAGTGTAGTGTATAGTGTAGTGTAGTACTGTATAGTGTAGTGTAGTAGTGTATAGTGTAGTAGTGTATAGTGTAGTGTATGGCGCATAGTGAACGAACTTGCACAGGCCACAGACTGGGGCTCGCCGCTGGGCCGGAAGTATCCATCGTGGCAGGTGCAGGACGTCGCTCCGATGACGCTGCCCGTGCTGTGTGGCGGACACCGGGAGCAGGAGCTGTCTTGGGCCGTCTCCTTATAAGAGCCCTGCTCACACACTGCACGCACAAAGGTCCCGCCCCCCGACCTGTAGCCTTTACAGACTCAGTTTAACACCTTTATTATGAACCTTTACAGACTGTTGGTGCTGTCAGTAGCGAGAGATGGGGAGAGAGATGAGCAGATGGGGAGAGAGATGAGCAGATGGGGAGAGAGATGAGATGGGGTGGGTGAGAGAGTGCGTGGGTGGGTAAGTGGTTGGGTGAGTGAGAAAGTGGGTGAGTGAGTGGATGAGTAGGTATGTGGGTGGGTGAGTGGGTGGGTGAGTGGGTGAGTGGGTGAGTGAGTGGGTGAGTGAGTGGTTGGGTGAATGGGTGAGTGAGTGAGTGAGTGGGTGGGTGGGTGAGTGAGTGAGTGAGTGGGTGGGCGAGTGAGTGAGTGGGTGGGTGAGTGGTTGAGTGAGTGAGTGGGTGAGTCAGTGGGTGAGTGAGTGAGTGGGTGGGAGGATAAGTGGTTGGGTGGGTGGGTGAGTGAGTGAGTAGGTGGGTGGGTGAGTGAGTGGGTGAGTGAGTGGGTGAGTGGGCGAGTGAGTGTGTGGGAGGTCCGCTGGGTCTTTCCACATCTCTCTCGAGGGTAAGCGATGATGAATCTACTAAAACAAATCCCAACGCGTCACCTTGGCAGGCGTTCCCCGCCTGCTGGTACCCGGCACGGCAGACGCAGCTCCCGGGGTGGCCCTCCCACTCGCCGTCGGCGTTGCAGAACATCGCCGGCTCCGGCTCCCCCTCGGGCCGGAGCGCGTGGCCCACGCACGCCCCCGTCACCTCCGACAGCGCCCACGGCCCGTCGCCGGCGGCCGGAGCGTCGGGGAACTCGGCGAGGTGGACCGCGAGGGCCGGGCAGCGCCTGCGGTAGACGCGCACGGACGCCAGCCACGCGCAGGCCCCCGTGTCGCGGAACGCCAGACGGAGGCCGCCCCGGGAGAGGGGCCCCACGTCGCCCGCCGCCTCGACCTCCGACCCGCCCGAGCCGACGACGTCGACCTTGGAGAAGAGCCGCCGCTCGTCGTCGGCGAAGACCCCGGCGGCGACGTCGCCGGGGTCGTCCGACTCCCGGTAGTAAACGTCCAACGTGTCGTCGTCGCAGCCGGCGGCGGAGGCGGCGGCGGCCGGGAGGCGACGGGGGCACCGGCGCCGTAAGCTGAAGCGGAACTCGAGGAAGATGCGGCGAGCGTCGCCGCGCGGGATCCAGGCGGTGCGCAGCCACTTGTCCTGCCTGGGCACGGCGGGGCGGCACTGCGCCTGGTACAGCCTGGGCCTTGAGCGTTGGCCACTCGTAGCCTGCTGCCACTGCGGTCGTGGTGAGGGGAGAGGGAGTGGAGTGTGGGAGGGAGTGTGGGGGGGAGTGTAGATGTCACAGTGATTCTGAAACATTGTTCTCCACTCCTTGAATCAATTTTTATAACCTGTAAACCGTTTTACTCGCCTCGCGAGTTCGCGTCGCTCATTTTGGTCGGAGTTTATTTGCCGCCATGTCCTCAGGTTAAAGAGGCCCAACGCATGCTCGCCGATCAGATTCTGAGTGTGGAGCGAGCAAATCCAGATTCGTTGGTTATCGTACTTGGCGACTTTAACAAAGGTAATCTCAGCCACGAACTCCCCAAATACATACAATTCATTAAATGCCCAACCAGAGAAGGGAACACTCTGGATCACTGCTACACTACAGTCAGTAGAGCCTACCACGCCGTCCCCCGAGCAGCACTAGGACACTCTGACCATGCCATGGTCCACCTGATTCCTGCATACAGGCAGAAACTAAAACTCTGTAAACCTGCTGTGAGGACATCTAAACAGTGGACCAGTGAGGCTGTGGAAGATTTGCGGGCGTGCTTAGACTGTACTGACTGGGATATGTTCACGACTGCTACCAATAGTCTGGATGAACTCACAGAGGCTGTGACGTCCTACATCAGCTTCTATGAGGACTGCTGTATCCCAACACGTAACAAGGTGAACTTTAACAACAACAAGCCCTGGTTCTCAGCAAAGCTCAGAAGGTTGAGGTTGGAGAAGGAGGAAGCGTTTAGGAGTGGAGATAGAGACAGATTCAAGGAGTCGAAGAACAGGTTTAGCAAAGCGGTGAGAGAGGCTAAACGACTGTACTCAGAGAGACTAAAACACCAGTTCTCTACTAACGACTCTGCTTCTGTCTGGAGAGGGCTCAGGCAGATCACCAACTACAAGCCCAGAGCTCCCCACACCACTAACGACTCCCGCCTGGCCAACGACCTGAACGAGTTCTACTGCAGATTTGAAAGACAATTGGACTGTCCTGAACTACCCCTTCCCACTCAAGAGGCCCCATCCCCCACCCATACTATAGAGACGACTCTCTCCTTTCAGGAGGGAGACGTTAATAGACTTTTCAAGAGGCAGAATCCACGCAAAGCAGCCGGGCCGGACTCTGTCTCTCCAGCCACCCTCAGGCACTGCGCTGACCAGCTGTCTCCGGTGTTCACCTACCTCTTTAACACCTCCCTGGAGACATGCCATGTACCAGCCTGTCTCAAGTCCTCCACCATCATCCCTGTGCCCAAAAAGCTAAGGCCAACAGGACTAAATGATTACAGACCGGTCGCCCTTACATCTGTGGTAATGAAGTCTTTTGAGCGCCTGGTCCTGGCACACCTCAAAGCCATCACAGACCCTCTCCTGGACCCCCTTCAGTTTGCCTACAGAGCCAACAGGTCTGTGGACGACGCAGTTAACATGGCCCTCCACTTCATCCTACAGCATCTGGACGCCCCAGCATCCTACGCTAGGATCCTGTTTGTGGACTTCAGCTCTGCCTTCAACACCATCATCCCTGCCCTGCTTCAGGACAAGCTCTTCCAGCTGAATGTGCCCTACTGGATCACAGACTTCCTGTCTGACAGGAAGCAGTGCGTTAAGCTGGGAACACAAGTCTCTGACTCCAGCTCCATCAGCACCAGAACTCCTCAGGGCTGCGTCCTTTCCCCACTGCTCTTCTCTCTGTATACCAACAGCTGCACCTCCAATCATCTGTCCGTCAAACTCTTGAAGTTTGCGGACGACACCACCCTCATTGGGCTGATCTCTGGTGGGGATGAGTCTGACTATAGGTGGGAAGCTGACAACCTGGTGACCTGGTGTAGCCAGAACAACTTAGAGCTAAATGCTCTAAAGACAGTTGAGATGGTTGTGGACTTCAGGAAGAATACAGCCCCACTCACCCCCATCACCCTGTTAGACTCCCCAGTCAAAAGTGTAGAGTCCTTCCGCTTCCTGGGCACTATTCTCTCCTGGGACCTCAAGTGGGAACTGAACATCAGCTCCCTCACCAAGAAAGCTCAACAGAGGATTTACTTTCTATGGCAGCTGAAGAAATTCAACCTGCCAAAGACAATGATGGTGCAATTCTATACAGCAATCATTGAATCCATCCTCACCTCCTCCATAACCGTCTGGTACGCTGCTGCCACTGCCAAGGACAAGAGCAGACTGCAGCGTATCATCCACACTGCTGAGAAGGTAATTGCCTGCAATCTACCAACCCTCGAGGACCTGCACACGACAAGGACCATGAGGCGAGCGAGGAAGATTGGGTTTCCTGCCGGTAAGGCATCACTCTCGACAGCCCAGGGGGGGGAACAGGAGCGCGGCGGCCCTTCCCCGCCCGGTGAGGAGTGCAGCGGCGGCAGCTCCCACACTAGTGGAGAGTCTGGGGGCGTCGGTACTTCGCGGGCAGGGTCGCAGGCAGGAGAGATCCCGGGGGCCGACGACCCTAACATAATCATCATCAGGTGTGAAAACCACAGCAAGAAATTTAGAAAAAAGTGGCGTTTTTTTAACGTTAGCACCACGGAGAGCGATTTGGCAGTTCAGAAGGACGAGTCCATCTATGTTCGGAAAAGAGGAGGGGGGAGACGAAAAATAATGGATGAGGTCTGAAGGCCACCGTAAGCGTGAACAATCAATTAAGACCCGAAATGGTTTATCAAATCCTTCCAATGATTGCTAAGCCAGAATCCATCTTCTCGGTTGAAATTGTCTCTGTGTTTGTATATGTGAATAGACTCATGAACGAATCTCTCATGGTAGCCAGATGGCTTGCAAAGAACCTCTGTCTTGGAGAAGTCAATGTCATGTGAGCCTACTGAATTATAACAGTGATCTGCCACGGCCGAGGTGTTGGTCCTACCGTGTTTCAGGTCTGCTTTGTGTTCACGAATGCGGTCCGAGACATGTCATTTGGTTTCTCCAATATAACTACTCCCACCGAGGCAACTTAGCGTTGTCTGTATTTATTTAAAGTTGCGCATTTTGATGATGTGACGTCACATTTCTCAAACCTCCCTCTCTCGTCACGCATCGTCACAAATGTCTGACCCCGCCCCCTAAGTGCGTGACGTCATCTATGGACGCCCCTCCCCCCCCGAACATCCACGGAGGTCTCGTGGCCTCCACGCTCGACTCACCCCATCGGGCGGGAAGGCGACCCAGCCGAGGTCGCCCTGCGCGGTCTCCGTGTCGAGCAGGTCCACTGCGGCGGGGTGGGTGGGTGGGGGGAGAGACACGCGCACGCGCGCACACAGAGAGAGACGAAGTTTCAAGTTTGTTAGGTACGAGCTGTACTACCCGGCTACGCCCGGGACGAGGATTCACCACGTCCCCCCAGTGGCGATGTTCACACAGCAGAGCAGGTACTCGTTTGATGCCGAGTCGACCTAGGGAAGGCCCAGGACCGGTAAAAAAATAATCGTCACCGGCGGTGGCCGTGAGCGGGAATCGAACTCGGGTCACTACACTACAACGCGTTACGCTTCCACGTGCGCGGGTCACGTGACAGATTTGACGTCACAGCTCACTTGACGTGCAAAAAAAATAGATGCATTATTGAGCTACCCCCCTAAAGAAAAAGCAAAAGTGTATTTTTATAATTTTAGGATGGTGTACAGTCTGGAAAGCACCCACGTGGCAAATTTCCAGTTTGTTGCATGTCGGGAAGTACGCTAAACATTTTGAACAGACACGCACAATCACAACTTTGCCTTTTATATCTATGGAGATAGCGTTGTGAGCCATGCGGCTCTCAAGTCGGGTGCAGCCGCAACAAACAAAATATGAACACAGAACATCTTAAAGCGACAACGCGTAACAGAAACATCCTGGAAAAAAAACAGCAAATATTTAATATAAAACGCCGCGTGCAAAAAATCCCCACCATCGTGTACACGACGGCTGTCACGGACTGCCGGGGCAAGTGCTGCTGCTGCTCGCGAGTAGCAGCACCTACCAAGGCTACCGGCACTGTGGCACACGAGGGCGTGGGTGGCCAGCACCACGCCCGGCCGCCTTTGTCTCCCCAGTGGCGATGTTTACTACACACCGCACCAGGTTACTCATTTGAGCTTGAGTCGACCTAGGGGAGGCCCAGGACCGGTTCAGAGAATCGTCACTGACGGTGTTGGCCGTGAGAGGGAATCGAACTTGGGTCGCCGGGTTCGTAGCGCAGCGCGCTAACAGCTACATACACACACACAACAACTGCCATTCGCCACTAAGTGGTGGTGACATCACCACGACGCTTGTGCCAGGCCATGTGCACCTTGAGGCCACGCTGGCAGGTCACGGGGCAGACCCAGGTGCCACGGGTCGACTGACTGAGATGACCGAAATGACTGGCTGGTGCACCACCTGTGCCCCCTACTGTGCCAACCTGCTGTGCTTTAGCCACCCGGCGCTCCGCTCGTTGTTGTGAGCGTCGCTCCTCCACCCTCCGTTGTTGTTGGAGGGCGACTGCCTCCAACTGCCCAGTAGCGTCCTTCACGAGCCTCCTCCACAGAGGCCAATTTTGACACCGCTGGTACCAGTCATCGACAAGTCCACTCAGCTCCACGTCCTCCCGTACCACATCACTCCATCTCCTCTCTAGCCCGTGCCGCGCCCGTTTAGCCCCCTCGATCCGGCCGAACAAAAGCTGTTTCGGCATGCGGTGGCTGGGCATGCGGGCTACATGACCCAGCC